TATATATATATAAAATATTTAAGAGTGCTGCTTGTCTGTAACTTGCAACATCAATTGGAACTGTGAATCCCATGACTGGTGCTGACATTCAAAAGCTGCTATTGGCAATCTGATGGTGAGGACAGGCTGTTCCCAAGGCGTTCAGAAACAAATTATAAATAAAAAGCCTGCAGTTCGGTACCAACTTGCCTCTCATCGATCTCTGTGGCTAAAGGGCACTACTAGGTGCCACGAGACATGAGTTCTAGCTTAGTCTTCACATCGTAGTTATTGTGCAACCTAATTTTCCTCATCCTCTTGTACGCTTTGTATTTTTGTATGGTACAAATAATGAATGGCACATAGTCTTACAGGGGATGCATGAAGTTTTTCATGTCAGCTAAACCAAGAATGTTTCCTCCTTGAAATAAGACTATTCTGATTTTTCTCAAAGGTTGTATTTAACTTCCAGTTGACAGAATGACTGGAATGGAGACTGAAACGGCGAGAGACAAAGCTGTGGAGGAAGAAAGCACTGAACAGAAGAAGGAGAGAGAGAAAAAGAAGAGGTCAAGGGTTAAACAGGTGCTCGCAGATATAGCAAAACAAGTGGATTTCTGGTTTGGTGATGTCAATCTCCACAAAGACAGATTTCTCCGAGAGCAAATAGAGAAGTCCAGAGATGGCTGTAAGTTTATATTCACTATATTTCAGTGAATGGATTCTTGACTGTATTCCTGGTGACAGTTACAAGTTATTTTGGGGTTCACGTCTGCTCCTGGGGAAAGCAATAGTTCCGTGCTGTAAACCAGCAGCAGGATTAGCGGCTTGGGAGGCAAAGCTTGGTACCAGTTTTTAGAAATTGTATTTGTGTTTATCTTTCCTGTTCCTTTACTACCAGCCTGAAGTTACAGGCATATTTCAGGGTAAAAATGACTGTTTGGGAGACACAATCATCATCTTTTCCCGCCCCACCCCCTTGTAACTTTGTGCAATTTTAAGAGTGAACAAACAAACAAGGGTTGTTTTGCCTTTGGAGGTGTAGCACTTTACTTGTATGGTAGATATATGCAGAAAATAAAATGCAATCTGTATTTTTGTTTAGACAGAGATGCTTTTTGTCATGTTTTTTGCACAAGTTTTTGATATGTGAGCAATAGTGTGTTTGCATGTAGGGCTACTGTAGGTTTCTTTCCTTTAGACAATTTTTAACATGGCTGATTTAACTTCAGAGTAGGAAATTGAGCTCAGTTCTGAAATTGTTTGGCAGTTTCTGAAGAAACTAATTTATATTTTTGCTGCAGTGACTAGTATGCTTTTGCTTTAAAAAAAACAGTATATGTGTGGTAAATGCAGTCTATTAGTCTAATTGTTCTGTTAACTGAGTTCTGCCAGATGGACTAGAAGTGTGGTATGTCTCTAAAAAGAGGTGGTCCTTCTCCATCCAAACGAACAAATAGCTTTCAGAAGTGTTTACTTATTTTTGTTTTCTTAAGGAGTACATGCTTATTTGAAGTATAAATCATGAGTCCAGTTGCATTGCGTGTGAAGTGTAGCCTTCAAACTGCTTGCTGTAGTCTGCCATTATATTGAACTTCAAGCCAGCTTTAAAAAAGGGGCCCTCAGAGCAATAAAATTTAGCCTACATTTTCTAGAGATATTAGAGCTTGGATATCTTTACTTTTTTTTTTTTTTTTATTAAGAGTAATACTACATAATTTCCTGTCAAGGTTTCAGCAGCATGACTCATTGCAACTGAAGTGCAAGCAGGGGCTCTTTTGTGTTGGGAAGCCTGGGTTAAACACTTAATTGAGTATTTGAAGGAGAAGCACGTTTTCAATGCAAATTGGTTTTGTATTGCAAAGCTGCATCAGAAAGGGGGTTTTCTTTCTTTTTGAAGACAGTAGTTATCAGTGGGGAGGTAGAACAAAATCCCTTTCATAAAGGTTAGCACAAAAAAAAATTAAATATGGGTTTACTTGAAACTTTAATTTTGATGGTGAAAATTTTCTCCAAATCCTCAGCAGCAAGGTTATGGACTGCACTAATGATTTGCAGGTTGTTTTACTAGCGAAATCTTAATGTCAGATTACCCTGATTTCATCATTGTACCTTATTTTATACCTAGATGTTGACATATCACTTCTCGTTTCTTTCAACAAAATGAAAAAGTTGACAACTGATGGAAAATTGATAGCTCGAGCAGTTAAAAGTTCATCTGTTGTAGAGGTATTTCATGTTTCACTTTTTAACATTTGCTGATGTTGGTGTAATGTAAAGTAGGCGATAGTCTTATGGAAATTGTTCATTTCTTGTTACTTTTAGTTGGATTTAGAAGGAACAAGGATCAGAAGACGCCAGCCGCTGGGTGAGCAGCCGAAGGATGTGGATAGTCGTACAGTCTACGTGGTAAGGCTGCACTTGCGGTAACAGATTTCATAAATAGATTGTACCCCAGAGGGGTGGGGAGTTGAATCAGAGGAATGTAACTCCTACGGGTTCAGTCCGGTAACTAAGGTACAATACAAACCACTACTGCTACCAATAATAATGATAAGGGAAATAACAAGGGGAGAGGATACAACCACTCACCACCCACCGGCTGATACCCAGCCTGACCTGAGCAGCGATCTGGGCCTTCCGGGTAACTCCCCCCAGTTTCTATACTGGGCATGACGTGCTGTGGTATGGAATACCCCTTTGGCCAGTTTGGGTCAGGTGTCCTGTCTCTGCTTCCTCCTGGCTTCCCCTCCTCCCTGGCAGAGCATGAGACTGAGAAAGTCCTTGGTCAGAATAAACATTACTTAGCAACAGCTAAAAACATGGGTGTTATCAGCGTTGTTCCCAGGCTGAAAGTCAAAACCACAGCACTGCACCAGCTACTAAGAAGGAGAAAAAATGACTGCTGTAGCTGAACCCAGGACAGTTCTTTAAATGTTATGTGCTACTCAACAGTATTGCCCTAATATTATTACAGGGACTGCTTAAGGCCAAAATAGGTAACTGATGTGTTTCACAAGTTACTGAATTCCTAGAGATCTTATTTAGAGAATATGTACCAAACCATTATCTTCTCTTACTGCTACCAGAAGGGGTAAGATGATTTTTTTTCCTCTTTAAAGACTAGTGGATGAGGAATCTGCTCTTTGTAGTGGAATCACAAAAGTGTTAAGCTGTGTTAAATGACTGGTATGTAGCGGGGGGGGGGAGCAGAAGAACGGAGTGTGCTGTAATAAAGTTACAGTTAAAGCTTCCACTGTGAAGGACTGTCTCCAATAGCAGTTACGTTTTTCTGAATTTATGCAGGAAGTCAAAGCTTTATTTCTAAATTAAGAATTGAGACTTAGACATGTGTTTCTTTAAGGAATAGTAGCTTCGTTACTGTGGGTTTTACAGTCTCATTTAATTGGGGGAAGTTTTTTTTTTTAAATTTCTCTGAAATAATTTTGTGGTTAGTGGCTTTTTTAATATGTATTCATGTAAACTACATTTCAACATACCCTATTATTTGGTACTCATCCCATAATATTTTTTTAAAGCTTCAAGCAACTGGGTTTTCAATTTTATACTATAAAGAGATGTTTTTCTCAAGCAGGCGAAGTTCATGCAAAAATAGTTTTCTACCTGAGTGTGATAAATAATGTTTTCCTACAAGGAAAACCTTTTAGGGCAGTAACTTGCCATGAAAAAAAAAAAAAGAAAGTATTGCAGTGAAGAATTGCTGAGTCTCCACTGTTTGGGCATAGATTTGAGATTAGGGGTATAGAATGTTCAGTTGGGTCTACTTAGAAATTGGTACGACAGCATTTCTCTTTGATTAGTGAAGGAAAATGTTTAGGAACTGAGACATGATGTCTGCAAGCTGCTAAAATTGTTGCTATATTAAGGAGCTGATAGAAATAAAATCAGACAGTTCCATCATCCAAGAAGCTGGCTGAAAGTTTCTGCTGCATCTGATCATGCAGGCTGCTAGTATTAAGTACTAAGCTTTAAAATGTCAGCTACTAGCAGGAATTTATCAGCTTGAGAGGTGGCTCTTTGCTGACCTACAAGAATTTTCTGCTATACCTGGGTTACCAGCAATAAAATGGAACAAAAAAATCCTTGTGCTTTGCAGCAGATAGTTTGAGACAATGTGGAATTATGTTTGCTCAAAGGTCTTACATTTACATGTTGCAGAGATACAGTTGCAGTTGAGGTCCTGGCATCTGTCACAAAAAAGAGAAACAGCTAAACATATAATCTAATTGTTACAGGTATATGAATGTTTAAAGACGTGTTTTCAGATTGCTGGTTTTACTACCTGAATACTGTGACCTCTCAAAAAAAATACTACTGAAATAAAATTTTGTCAATGTTGTCACCTCATACTTAAACGTATTTTGGTGTGATGACTTCTTAATTAAAAGTTGTAAACCAGCTGATGCAATGGCAATACAGTAGTGAGAAAATGACATTTCTTTCCCTTTGTTTTTTTTAGGAGCTGCTTCCCAAAAATGTCAATCACAGTTGGATTGAGCGGGTGTTTGGGAAGTGTGGTAACGTGGTTTACGTCAGTATACCCCGGTATAAAACTAGTGGTGATCCAAAGGGATTTGCTTTTGTTGAATTTGAAACTAAAGAGCAAGCTGAGAAAGCTATTGAGGTGAGTAGTGGTGCTTCTGGTCTGCTCACATTCTTCCCAGTTGTTTGTCACTTTGTGCTATGGATGGGGTAGTTTTTACAAGTCCACCAAATGGATTTTAGAGAAATTCCTAAAATAACATAATTTGAAAACTTAGCAGGAGTTCAGTTCCTGTCTCCTTAACCCCAGGCCTCAAATCAATTCCACCCCTCCTTAAAAGCATAATCCTGTTCATAACCTGGAGACTCAGTAGAAGCATAGCGAGTGTTTTTTGGAATAATTTGGTTGGCCACTCATCTTTTAGGGAAATAAAGATCTCAGTGTAACAGTATAGTGGCTGTTAAATTTCATCAGGCAAGCATGGTTATACCACATTTTCTGTACTTATATGTGATTTAAAAGTCTAGAAACATTTACATTTATGTTTCAATATCACAATGGTAACATGCGTAAAGGTATCACACTATTGAACTCAAGGAAGCTCTGCACTTAAAAGGTAAACCCCAGCAACAAGAAAAACAACCCAAAAAAAGCACCACACCACTGAAAGAACATGAGAACGTAACTCCTGCTGGAGTTATGAGGGAGTGCATCTTGTTTGAGTGAATTATGGGGCTGCTGGTTGTGACTGCAATGGAGATTCCTAAAAAAAAAAAAAAAAAGGAAAATTTTGAGAATGCTTTGTGAATATTTTCTTTTTTAAGTTTTTGAATAACCCACCAGAAGAAGCACCACGGAAACCTGGGATTTTCCCCAAAACAGTAAAGAATAAGCCTGTTCACACACTGAATACGAGTAACAGCAGTGTAGTAGGTAAGTGTTACTAAGTTACTGTGATCAAGAAACAAACTGATTTGTGCCTCAGCTTCTGAAGAGTTTGCACTGCTGTTTAACTGTAGTCTAGTCTCATGTTTCTTAAAACTTTACAAGATTAAAATACGTATTGCTGTTTGTTCATTGGCCAATGTAGACTTAAGAATATAAGTGTCAAACAAAAATACAGTAAATTTCTGCCATTTGTTTTTCTGCTTGATTAAGAACTTCAATTTCTTTATTCCTCTATGCCAGCTATCATTAGACATTGTTATGCTGGCAGAGCAGCTTTCAGGCTGTACAACAAATCATTATGTACACATTGAACATTAGCAAAAGATAAATTTGTCTCAGATTGTTCTAAAAATATTTAGCATTGAAGGGACAGATTCAGGCATAAGAACGAAGTTAAACATTAGTGCTGTTCAGATGAGTTTGTGATCATCTGACATTGCAGTGAAATGCTTATGGTATTCTCTGCTGAGAGAACTACAAAACTAGTGGATTTTTGCCTTTCTTCTTCTTTGGAACTCTTGCTAATTGAGCAGAGCAGTCTATAGTAGAATGAATTTGTTACAGCATATTTACAGTTCCACTTTACATAATTCATAATTACGGGGGGGGAGGGGCAGAAATAGAGGGTATTGCCGGGAATCCTGAATGCAGAGTTGCTCATGTTTTGAAATACAGTCTACTAAAACTCACAAAGCAGCATCACAGGCTTGTGTTGCAACTTTGATCACTGAAATGTTTTTCCTTGTTTCTAATATAATGCGATTGCCCAGACTTAGGCATGTTCCATTCTTTTTCATACACATAATGATGAATCATACATTACATTCCTTACTAGCATCACTCATTCTTTATTATGTCAGTAACTACTGGGGGGTGTGTGCCAAAGATATGTTTAAGACACATCTTAAACCTAATTAGGATGCCCTCTACTGCTTCACATGCATCCTGACCATTATAACTTTGAACCAAGTGTACAGTAATTGAAAATAAATTTATTTATTTTTTAGATTGGTTGTACAAACCAGCAGTCTTTTTTAGTTGTTTGGCCTGGAAGGAGGAAGGTATCCCTTCCTTAAAACAAGGAATGACATAACAAAAATGTGCATTTGTTAAGGAGAAGCAAAGAAGCCTGGCTCCTTTCTGTTTAATCTGAGAGTAAGTACTTCAGGAATCCTGTAGTCAAGCTATCCTTGTGACCCAAAGGCCGTTCTTGCTTTGTGACACTGAGACTCTTATCTGTGTGTTTTTCTCTTCTGCTTAAAATGCCTAGGAACAGCTTTGAGACAGAGTTATTGCATCTCTCCTGTAGTTAGAGATATCGGAGACAGGCACTTCATTTAACATCCCAGATTAGAATGACATATGATATTGTGATTGTTTGCTTAGGTCAATTAATCTAATCTAGTTTTTAATCATTGGCAGTCTCAAATATTGTATTTTTTAATACAGAAGAGAAGAAAAAGAAGAAGAAAAAGAAATCTAAAATCAAGAAAGAGAGCAATGTACAGGCTGCTGTAGAGACAAAGGAATCTAACACAAATGCTACAACAGAGCAAGTACCCAAGTCAAAAAGACACAGAACTTCATCAGAATGTTCAGAAATGGAGGTGATTGAGGCCCACAGGCAGCCCTTAAAGAGAGAGAAAAGAAAATGGGACAGAACAGAAAGCTCCGAGGCGCCTTGGGAAAGCAGGCCAGGGAAGAGGAAAAGAACCAGTTCTGGAGGTGGTGAGACCTCAACTCCAAAAGTGAAGAAAACTATCCAAAAGGATGAAGTTGTTCCTGTAAAGGAAGAAACAACAGAAGCTCCAAAAGATTCCAATGGTAAACTTTGTTCCATCTCTTCTTAGTATGTTCATGATTTATATGTCTCTTTTCACAGGTGACAAATGGTAGGTTTCATGAGGGAAAAATCTAGATAAGGAGAAATGCTTGAGTTAAACCACATTCTTTGCAATTGTAATTGTATTTGTAGTGGCCCAAATTAACGTGATTCTTGCTATGCTAGAAGGTAGCAAGCAAGTGAGGTAATGGCAGATGCAAAGGACAAAGCTGGAAAGCAACAAGGAACTGAAATGTTACCAGTATAATACAAATGCATTAGACTTTTGGAGGCTCATGGGTTTAGTACTTGAAAAGTTATTGAGGAAAAGAGTTCACGAATGATTCAGGCGCTGAATTTCCATCTTTGAAAGTTAGCTGGTAAAAGATGATTCTGTGGTGAAAATGCTGGTCAGTAGGTGAAAATGCTTAATATGGTGGAGGCATACTCAGGGTCAGGTTAGGAATATGTGGTGTTCCCTGCCGTTAAATTGAAACCTGGTAATGAGTCATTCCAAGGAGATAAGCTGCTTGCAGAATAGGGAAGAACTCCATCAGAAGTAAAAATAGTTCCAAAGTTAATAAATGAAGGACAGGTCAAGGTCATCCTAGGCAAATTGTGTCAGTGTAAGAATGGAGTGTAGGAATTCTTACAAAAGGAAAAAAAGGCAATAGATGGGATTTAAAACTGCAGTCCATTAGAGGCTACACTAAGGTAGTTGACATGGGGGACTGAAATTTTTTAGCAGGCTGCAATTTTTGTGAAAAGAATCAAAGAAGTAGTGTTGATTAAACTATTCTTGGTAAAGCAAATGCCATGCCATTTAATGAAATATTCATTTAGGCTGGATTATATAATGCATGTATCTCAGTAGCAGTCAATATTGGACCTAAACATTTTTTCTTTTGGGTTTTTTAATGTAGATGTTGCTGCAGAAGATGACAAGGATAAAAAAGATACATCCCTTTCAAAATCTAAAAGGAAACACAAGAAAAAGCACAAAGAAAGACACAAAATGGGTGAAGAAGTCATTCCACTCAGAGTGCTCTCCAAGTAGGTTCCGGAACATTAAAGTGACTAGCTTACCATACCCGGTGGAGAGGAGGCCTTATTGTTCCATTTTCCATGGTTTCACTGAACTAACTGGTACTGGTGGCAAATGGCTTTAGTGGTGGGCTGGTTTCTGAATTTAAATACACCCCACCTCCACCCCTCAAAAAAAGCTGTGTGAGGGCAGCTTGTTTTGTTCACGAATGTAATGATTACAATATAGGGGCTTCTGAACTATGCAGTTTTGTTGTGTGTATGAATTATCTACTACAGAAAATATTGAATGCTTTATTATTGAATTTTTATTAACAGGCACATATACACATTTCAGTGATTTCTCAACATTTCAGATCATTTAAATCCTTTGCATGTCTGACAGTCCATCACCATTGCTAAAGTGCAATTCCAATTTTTTACACAACAGAGTTGCATATTAGCAACAGTATTAGACTGTAGGTGGAAAAGTTTATTAAATACCAGAGTTTAAGTCCAACTTCAATTCTTCAGTAGTTTACATGGACCAAGTCATGCCGTTCCTCATGCTTTTAACTCTTGGGCTCTTCGGAGTCACCACAACTATAACATGGAAGCACTTACTTTTTAGGCATCCAGCAAGTACCTCCATGTTAAAGTCGAGGGGGTCCTTGCCATCTTCTGCTATATATCATGATGCAAAATCCCAGTTAATGCCTTTGTGCTTAACAGAGCAACCACATGTACAGTTTAAATACAGCTTGTTTCGGTATCTGTTTAGATACATTTTCTAGGAAGAGGGAAGGGTTCAGCTGGGATAAAGGATTCACCACCACTAAAACATGGAAGCACTTACTGCTCAGGAGCAAAGCAAGTACATCCACATTTAAGTTGTGGGGGTCCTTCAGTGGAAAGTCTAAGGAGCAACTTAGAAATTTAAAAAGCATGGTATATAGTTATGATGCAGTAATAAACATAAAGGTATATTACTGCAAGTACACTTATTTAAGCTATAACTTATTTCAAGAACATTAGGATCCACCGCCACTGAAACATGGAAGCACTTACTTTTTTAGGCAGCAGGTACCTCCATGTTAAAGCGAAGGGAGTCCTTTAAAATTAAAGCAAAAAAAGTATCTGGAACAGAGTCCCCTGGAGCACTTGAATCTTTCAGTTCTTGGGACAGAATTCTTCCTTTTTTTCCTGGTTAAAGTCTTGCAGCTTAAGCGAAGACAAAATCCTGGATGGTGGTTCAGGATTGCGATCAGGATTCACCTCTACTAAAACATGGAAGCACTTACTTTTTTTAAGTCACAGAAAGCACCTCCATGTTAAAGTAAAAGGGGTCCACAAAAAAAAAAACAAAACACCAAACCCAAAAAAATATGTAGTTATCGATGATGCTGGTCCTCTTCCACCAGGATCCTGAGGCTACTGTCAAAAAAAGTTTTAAGTACAGTTAACTATAGCAAAGGAGGTTTAAAAAAAGAAAAAGTTTTTAAAAGAGCACAAGCATAGCTAGTACTTGCCTGACATTCCCGTGGTCTTCTCTGCCTTCAAGTCAACAGCAAGTACCTCCTTGAGCTTGTATTTATACCATACCTTGCTATGGAATGGTGTTGCCTTTTTATCTACAGGAATCGTTACGTGGGTCTTTTGTTATTTTAATGTCTTTGCTCTATTGAGAATGTATGATCCTGGGTGAGTCTGGATGCTTTTTTTGAAGTATACAGTTGTCAATGTTAACAGCTAAAACCATTACCACAAGATATCCTCCTCTTTAAAAATCCTCTATCAGCTTGTTTGATAGCACAGATTAAGGTAACAATGAGTCGTTCTCACAGTGGCACTACAGGCATTGTGTTTCTGGGGAGTAAAGCTCTAGCTGTTTGCAGAAACATCTCCATGCTAAATGTATGTAAATATATAAATTGCTTCCATGTGGTGGTATTTTTTAACCAAAATGCATTTGAATGGTAAGGAATGTTCTTATCTCAGTAGGTTTTTTGGTGAGTTTAACCAGTTGTTGATTTTCCATCAATGATTTTTCTAGAAAATAAAGGACTTATTCTCAATATAGTAACACAGGAGTGGGTTCACTGAACTAATTCAGGGAATTCAGAGTTCACTGTCTTGGAATTAAGTCTGAATTTAATGCCTAGCTCCAGTAGAATATGCACTTTACCAAACTGTTGTGTATGCTTGCTGAATATGTAAACCAAATTTGGGAGTCTCTCTGTTTGAATGACAGGTTGATCTTGTTAGAACTTGCCTGGAATAGTAATAGCTAAAGCAAAATAGTAAGGCAGATAGTAATGAGGTTTGGTTTGACCTAAGCACAGGGAAGTCTCTGATGGTAAGAACGATCTGCACTGCTCACCAGGTTTAGCTTGTCTGTAAACTCTGTTGTCTTAGGCTGTCATCGAGCTTCTAAACATTTTCTTCTTTACAACTGACATCCTATGCCTGTGTTGCTGCTTACAGGACAGAATGGATGGATTTGAAGCAAGAATATTTGGCCCTTCAAAAAGCCAGCATGGCCTCATTAAAGAAAACGATGTCTCAAATCAAACCTGAGCCTGTAGGAGAGATGGAAACGGAATCTTATGCCCAGAAAAAGCCTCAGCCTGAAAATGGCAAATGTAATGCTGTTTGTGATGTTTTTTGTCTTGTTTTCTTCATGATTCTAGTACACAGACAGAAGGGATTTAAGACACAGGTCCCCTAGAAACACTGCAATATGATCGTACTTTCTATACTACTAGTGCCTTTTCTGAATGCCAGATATAGTTAACAGCAAACCCCACTCATGTACGTGGATGTGGAACTAACGAATAGTATAAATAAAGACTAAGCAAGTAATTTCAGCATATTTCAGTAGCACTTCTTAAACTTACGTATCTTTTCAGGTATGGTGATGTCACTTAGGCTTGACCATACTTGCAGCAATTTAGAAAACAATTTCAGTAAGGTGTTCAAAAAATGGCTTGCAATTGGGTTTTATCAGCATTATGGTTAATTATGTCCTTGTAATTAGATTTCTGCATTTTTCAGCAAGCGAGACTTGCTGTTTTGCTCTGGATCGTCTGTACTTTATTACCATGTCAATGCCAGTGTGCTTATTTTTAATCATTCCAGAACTGAGCGTTCAACTATTAACTATAATCAATGGAATATAAAATATTCTTACAAGACGACCCTGTAGGCTGTAAAAACTTCTCTAAAACTCTTGGTGCTATTTCTGTCTTCTCTCCC